AAGCCAAGAATGAAGAAAAGGAGGGAGGAAACATTTTTTTTTTTTTTTTTTTTTTTGCTGTTAAGTTGTTGCTGTTAAGTATCAGCAAGTTGGTTCAGACTCATAGCAACCCTATATAGGATTTCCAAGGAGCGGCTGGTGGGTTTGAACCACCAACCTTGAGGTCCAGGGTTTATCCTACAGCATCACACCAGGACTCCAAGACGTGTTCTATTTCTTGTATGCACTCTCCCTTCACTCAGTCCCACTGAGTGAACAACAGGAAGAACAAAAGTAAAAAAGAAGTTATTCTTGCTCCAATGCATCTGGGTTTTGGTTTAACTGGTAATGAGTTAAATCCAAGTCAAGGAGTTAAGCTTGAACTTGGTTAAACTCCAGAGTCAAACTGCAAGCCCCAAACTTATGTGATCAAAAATGCCTTAAAACTATTAGCCAGAATGATTCAGACTTATTAAAATGACTACCATCAGTATCCAAAGTAAAAGAGAAACATGTGGCTGTTTTAAGAGAGGTAGAGCTCATGCTACAAAATAGGGCTCAATAGTCACAGTCACTCGGTTAATGTTTCTTGAGTATCAAGATAGTGGCTGGCATGAGAACAAAGACATAAGGTATGTGGTCCTAGAGCCTTCTACAAGGGACATTATATTGGACCAGTGATAGAAGAGAATTGCAGATAAGGATTGTGTGTGCAAAGAAAAAGTGCCTGAATCTGTCTTGTTATCTGAAAGAGCATAAATATTTCACAAATATTTATGAATGACAAACTGGCACAGAGACTAGTTCAATATAATGAGAGGGTCTTTTCATCAAAGAATCTCTTTAGTCAGATGAAACTACCCACAGTGAAGACTGAAATGTTTTGGCCTCTCCTTCTGAGGACAGGAACATCCTTAGCTTTCCATGCCCACGTCCTAAATAATGGTTGACATTCTGTAACCATTAACCACACCACTTCCATTCATAGTGTCCAACATTCATTCAACAGCTATGTTTCATGTTCCTGCTATGTGTGGAAGAAATAGTCTTTGTCCTAGAGTGAAAAGGAAAGGATTCTATGAACAGGGAAAAGTCCAGACTCTATGAACAGGGAAAAGTCCAGACTTGATTCCTATGCCCTCCTCCTATGTTTCATGAGTTGTAAAAAGGAGGTTATAAAAATATCACTATGTTTCAGTACTGATTAAGTCCAGCAGTAACTGTATATTTGTAAAGCATCAGCAAAAAAAAAAAAAAAAATGTCTAGCTAATGTAAGTTCTCCCCTAAAATCACTCACCATTAGGCTTGGAGTGAAGAATAATTTTCCATAAAAATAGATTTTCTGTAAAAAGTTTAACTGGCAAAAGTTATGTGAATGATATATTTATAACAACAGTAACAAAGAGTAGCTGCTTATGTACAGCCAATGCCTCATGGGATTTGGTTCCTTGGTTTGACGTTTTAGGGTCATGGTTTCATAGGATGTCACAGTTAATTGGCCTAGTAAGATATTTAGTGCTTCAGTTTTGCATCCTAGTTCATTTTAGTGCCTGGGGTCTTAAAAGCTTGCAAATATCCAGCCAAGGCACTGCAATGAGTTTCTATTAAACTAGAGCAATAGCAGAGAAAGGAAAGTCTGGAAGAGAAGGAGGATAAGGAATGTGTGGCTAACTGCCTCCATGAACCACAGTCTCCTTTATCATGAAACAAGAAGAACTGGATGGTGCCCGGCTACAATTACTGAACATTTTGATCAAAGATCCTAGAGAAGAATCCTGAGCAAAAGGAGGACACTGTAGGAAAGAATGTCAGTTTCTCATGGACTCCAGACTTTCTGGAGCCATAGGGGCTAAGTGAACCCCTGAAACTATTGCCTTGAGATAATCTTAAACCTTAAATCAAAAATATCCTCTGATGTCTTTTTAAAATGAAACATTAATTTAACTTAACAAGTAAAAAATGTATGCCTTCGTCCAGGAGACATCAAGGCAAGTAGTGGTCAGGTCCCCTCAGGGTAAAACCCCTTGCAAGACTAAGACTCAGGAGCAGACACGCGCTCTGACTGATGACCACGTTGATCACCGATAAGGGGAAGTGAGGAAAAAACAGCAATGAAGCTGTGAGCTAAGTCCGGCCATGTTCAATAGACTCCTGTGAACCCAGGTGGAGACCTGGTTGGCCAGCAGTATGGCAAGACCTGGAGGCTCCTTGGCCCAGAGTCATAGCCACAGAGGACTACAGTGGAGAGTGAAGCATACAGCTGATAAAAAGTGAGGGGATATGCACAAGAACATTCACACTTGCAGATAATACCCACTTGACTAGAAAAAGAAGAAAAGAGGAAAAAAAGAATAATCTGATACAATTTGATGAACTTGACCTATACCTATGGATGCAGTAGCACAAAAGAGGGAACAAATCTTTACAGCGAGGATCATTCCCACCCCCTTGGTACACAGGGTACACAGGGATGTTCAACTTGGGCATTGGCTACCCAAAATGGTGGCAGGGGGAGGGGTTGGCTACAAAGGCAAGAAGTGACTGGCTTACAAGCTTTCAAGAGGGAGCCTAGATCCAGAGGGTGCGGAAGAAGGTAGAATTTCCATTGAGTAGTATCCAGTCTGTCTATGCTGGGCTGATGAAAGGAAATGCAGATAGGTCTCTTGTGATACAATAGTGAATAATTGTTATCAGGACTGATTGTGAGGGTTGGAAATGTAAAGGTAGATGTTTGTAGCAAAAGGAGGAGAGTGGTTGACTTTGTAGTCCAGGAGTAGAGGTCCCTGGGCCCATCAAGGAAGAAGAGCAGAGAGCAGGACCCTACCCAGAGAAACAGTGATACCAGAGATGGAGGCAGAGACGATGACGTGGAGAGATGGAGCAGCTGGGCTAGACCCAGAGAGGGAGAGGGGCTGTGTGCTGACGACTGAGGAGCAGGCTTGCAGGGTATACCCTGTGGTTAGTTGATGATGCATGGAGGGGATTGTAACCATAGCAATGAAAAGATATATGACAGGATGAATGTAAAGCTAACGTTCTCCCATGTAAACTATCACATTATTCACAATAAAAACTTAAAAACAAACGTATGCCTTGAGCATTGTACTCTTTTGTTATATGGAATGAAAAGGTGTTCTGGTGGTTCTATGGGTTAGGCATTGGGTTTTTAACTGCAAGTTTGATGGTTCAAACCCACCAGCTGTTCCTCAGGAGAAAGTCAGAAGTTGTCTGCTCCTGTTAGAATTTAAAATCTTAGAAACCCTATCTAGGGCCGATATGAATTGGAATCAACTTGATGGCCAGGATTTTTTGGTTTGCATTGTGTCCAATTGACAACAGCAAGTTGAAAGTTTAGATATGAGCCTTAGTTTATGTGAATGGGGGGGAAACAACTCAGAAACAGAGGGAGAGAATGACTGCAAAACTCGAAGAATCAAATCAGTCTTCCTGAATTGTACAAGTAGAAACTGTAGAATTGGCTTATATTTTGCTGTGTATATTCTCAACAACAACAAGCAAAAAAAACTCTAAAAAGTAAGTTGATGCTAACCAGTCCAATCTTATTGTGAAATGTATGTATCTATGAAACTCCTAGTACAATGGAACTTAGTGAATGGAACATTATGAAATAGGCACCAATCCAGTGGTATCTTAGAAAGAATTGATTGTCAGGTGTCTAGTTGCCAACTTCTTAAGTCAAAAAGAAAATAAAAAATGTTCTTCTGGAACTAAAAGGAAAGTGGCAGAAACCTGAACACACACAGATCTTTTACAAGGTATTTTGATTTTCTTTTCCAGCCACAGAGGCAAAATAATCCATTCAGCATCACAAAGGAATGGGGAAGAACTAAAAAGAAAGAGGCAGATAGATGGGGACAAGATTCTGTTCTTTGAAAGAAGGATCATTTCTCAATCAGAGATTCTGAGGGAAATCATTATGGAAATGTATCAAACTCTGTTGGGTAGGTGGCAGATTAGGTCGAGATGGTTCTTTCGCGACCTTAGATCCAGATGGGTGTGACATTGCTGGGCTTCACGAACTGCAGTGTCAGGAACGTGCTGACCAGTAGACACGATAAGCGGTTCAAAGGTTACTGAACAGTAATACAGTACTTTGTCACATTTCATAGTGTGTGTGGTAATGAACTGATTCACTGCCTATGCATTGCTCATCCTAAGAACAATAAAACTTAACTATATTTCTGTATCATTCTGATTTGATGTTCTGCTAAAAACATGAGTTCTAGTTCCTGAAAAATAAAAGTGAATGTTAACGAAGTCCACTGTTCTGGCAACATCAGGTGTTCAGGAAGAGGATAAACAAACTGTGACTAAAATATCTGGACCTGGCGCCTAGGAGTGAGGGAAGTGCATTTCACTCATAAATCCAGACGGAAGGGGAGCAAATGAGGACCCAAACTGAAGTGTCAGATGGCCCTCGGAGGGAGGGGGTATTGAAGACCAGAAATTGATAGAGTTAAAGGAGTGGTGTTCAAAGTTGAAAGAGAATTTCTGTCTGCCTTCGAACAAGGTTTAACTGAAAATCCAAGACACAAGAATAGCCAGAAAAATAGCAAAGGAAGAAAAGTTCTGTGCTGATTTTTCAAACAGGACAGAATCAATTATTGGGGAATTGAGTCTATTCTCATAATCGGTCTAGAAGGTTCGAGGGGAAAAGCCAGTGTTAGGAGAACAATCTGAGGGCACACTGCTGTACAATAAGGCCAGGATCTTTGGGTCCAGCAGATCTGGAGCAATGGTCAAGTGCTGGCCTGCTAACCTAAAAGCTACGGGTTCAAAGCCACCCAAAGTCTCTGTAGGAGAAAGAATTGGCAATCCAGCTTCTTATTGTTAAATGTCACCAACTAGATTCTGACTCATAGTGACCCTGTATAGCGTTTCTGAGGATCAGTTTGTGGGTTTATTTAAGAACAGTAAAATAACAACCACAACAAAACCCCACAATGATTCAATCTGATGTTAAATGTGATTTCATTTACACTTCTATTTTCAAGACAATTTATTTAACTAAGACTTGATAAGAATGTGAAGCTTCAGCAGAGAAAAATATTGGATGGACCCCATTCTCTTGTGTAAAAAGCAAGATTTGTAAAGATTCAGATGGACCTCTATTACTTCTGACCTTCAGGAAATAGAAGTAGAGTCAGAAATAAACCAAATGAATTCATGGACTCCACTTAGCTGTGAGCATTAGCTGGGGTTTTATATACTGAGTACCCGACTTGGCTTTGTTACCAACAACCAAGTCATAATCTCCTTGTAAAGAAGAACCAGCCATATAGTATGTATGTTCATTTCTTCCATGGTACTTCCTAGAGCTTCTATCACAGAATAGATACTCAATAAAGATATAAAATATTTTGAAGTCTCTAGGTTTGGGTTTCTAGAAGATGGATTTAGAGAATTGGTAAGGTCCCTTCCTAAGACCTATTCTAATAGCCTATTTATGTACTGTACTCATAAATCAATGCTACTGTGTCCGTGGTGGAGTCCGGGTGTGGCGCTGTGGAATAAAGCACTGGACTGCAAGGTTGGTTTGAACCACAAGTTCTGTGCTCCTTGGAAACCCTATACAGGGTCGCTATGAGTTGGAACCGACTCTAAGGCACTTAACAATAACAATAACAAAGTATGTTTTCTTATTTGGTATTCTTATCATTATAATTCTCATTTCCCATATATGACCTACTCAAGATCACACAGGCAATAAATACCAGGGCCTGGGGTTGGAAACCAAGACTAGGAGTTTTGATCTAGTGCTTTTTATACTAAAAAACACATCACCATCATCACCATCATCATCACCATTTTTGCCATCACCATCATCACTACCATCACCATCATCACCATCATCATCACCATCAATCAAAGCTAGCCAGATAACACGACATCTGTTTCTGGACTGGAGTTAGACACAGATCTACTGTAGACACTATTATTAAGTAGATAAATTCATCTTGGTTGCCTTCCCTCAAGCTCAGCACCTTAAATGCTTCCCCAAAGTAAAAAATTACTTTTCCAAGATTTTCCTCTAACAAATTTCTCTTTTCCACAAACAGGTGTTTTCAACCAGATGGTAATAGGGAGGCTTCTCAAATAATTTCACAAGGAAGTGGCAATTTTAATGATAAGCTGAAGTTGGCTGCTACAGACTAGAGAGAGCTGTTAAATATTCAGCATTTTTTCAGCCAAGATAGAAGTATTTATACCACGGAAATGGGCAAATTCTACAATACATATCAGAGTCTTGGTGTGGCATTGGACTGCAAGTTTGTTTGAACCACAAAATCGGCAGTTCAAACTCACCAGCCCCTCCTCGGAAACTCATACAGGGTCGCTATGAGTCGGAACCGACTCCACATCACTTAACAACAACAACAATACATATCATGGTATTTGTTTTAATATCACTATTATAGTGACCAGCAGGTGTCACAAGAATGTTCACATTTAAAAATAGATGTTTATTAACTAATAAAAGCCCAAGCAATGAATTCATGACTTGTGGAGACTTTTCTATAATGTGGTAGCAATATCTGAGTAGCAAATAAACCCTTTTCCAACAAGCCTTAAGCACAGCAATGAGTTAAGCTAATGTTGTTGTTGTTAAGTGTTGTCAGGTTGGTTCTGACTCACAGCCACCCTGAATAGGGTTTCCCAGGCTGTAAATCATTGCAAGAGCAGAAAGCCTCATAGTTCTCTCATGGAGCCGTTGGTGGGCTCGAACAGCTGATAACGTGGTTTGCAGTCCAGTGCCTATTGTATGGAGTCACTGTGCTCCCGAAGCGGATCTTAGAGAATAGTATGTATTATTATTAATCTAGTATATACAACATGCCAAGTTTCACTGATATCCATAAGCTTTTCATTGTTTTTTTTTTTCCAGAAACAGATCTCCAGGTCTTTCTTCCTAGTCTATCTTTATCTGGAAGCTCTGCTGACACTATTCACCATGGGCGACCCTACTGGTATTTGAAATACTAATGGCATAGCTTCTGGCACCACAGCAACAACACAAGCCACCACAGTACAATAAACTGACAAATGTATTTGAATTATGGTGGTGGCAAAGAATATTAAATATACCATGAACTACCAGAAGAAAAAACCAATCTGTCTTGAAAGAAGTACAACCAGAAGGCTCCTTAAAAGCAAAGATGGCGAGACTTCATCTCTCCTACTTTGGACATATTGTCCCTGGAGAAGGAGATCATGCTTGGTAAAGTGAACAAGAGGAAGGCCCTCACCAAGATGGACTGACACAGTGGCTGCAACATTTTGAAGATGGCGCAGAACCAGGCCATGTTTTGTCTGTTGGACATAGGATCGCTATTAATCGGAACCAACTTTACAATACTTAACAATAACATGCCAGGCACTTTTTACAACTTTATCTTATGCCATTCTGCTGAAAGCCCCATGAGATATTATCCCTATTCTGCAGATGGAGACACTGAGACTCAGGGAAGTTAAGTGACTTGACCAACGTCATACTAAAGGACACAGCTGGTATTTGAGTTGACTTAGTTAAGGGGCTCTGGTAGCGTAGTGGTTATGAACTGGGCTGTGAACCGCAAGGTCAGAAGTTCGAAACTACCAGATGTTCCGTGGGAGAAAGATGAGGCTTTGTGCTCCCGTAAAGATTTACAGCCTTGGAAACCCTGTACAGTGTCACTATGAGTCGGAACCGACTCCATGACACATCACAACAACAACATCAGTTTAGGCTCCAGTGACTGCATACTTTCCACTCCAGTTGTTGTCAAGTGCCGTCGAGTCCCTGAATAAGCAGTGTAATATATCATGGAAAAAACCTTTGCTTGAGAACTTTCTTCAATAACAAGTTCAAATAGCCAGCTCTTAGATGCCACGGGCACCCTTCGGCATAGAGGCAGAATGGTGACTTAGCTGACCCTTTGGTTCTTCCCAGTCTTCTGATTGTAAGATTTTGTACCTCAACAAACTATGCTCATTCCTATTTGATTACTAATTGGATTATTTGACTTATTCATTGACTATCTTCCTCACACCTAAAAGTTTTGGAGACAACTTCTATCTTTTCCATGGTTGCAAAAAGAGTTTTAATCATAGTTTGGGGGCTTTCCCTATTTCTAACTGTACCCTCTCTTCATCTTTGTAGTAATAATTTGCCTGCGGGAAGTCAATCACACATTGAATCAAACTTAAAATACAGCAAATCAATTTATCTTCAGAAGGTTATCCTAACTGTCCTGACTTTATTTGCTAATTATTGATGCTTGCCAGGTTTACACAAGAGATTCGTCCATCTGCTTTCCTAGTATGAGCAAGAAATGAATTTGTGCCGGCAAGGTTGTGACTTCTCCAAGGCAACAGATGCTATGCACCCAATTACTATGTGATTGCAGAATCCACTCAGGAGGAAAGAGACAGCTGAGCCTAGCACAAACTAGCTGGAAAACCAGCAAATGGAAGGATAATAAACTAATAGTAACAGCCAACACTTACTGAGTGCTAACTGTGTGCTGGGCACCCCTCTAATCATTCTACTTACTGTCTTATCTCTTTTTATCCCACCAAGTTAATCATTGATTTCCACTACACCTCATAGTAACTCTAGATACATAAAAGTTATCTATGCACAGACAGCAAAATTTAACCAACGTGACTCTAGCCCCACAAACCATATTCTATCAAACTCAGTTTCCTGGATTCATTGCCCGTGCTTCCTGATAGCAACAAAACTAAAGGATTATAGACAAGGGTGGAACCTTCGAGATAAATAATTTGAATCTAAGCAGTCTATTTCCAGAGTCCATTCTTCTAACTCCTACCCTGCATTGTAATGAGAACACTGAGAACCAAGCAGATGAAGTGAATCTACTAAGATTACAGTCATTAGGAAGGCGCCCTGGTGGCACAATAGGTTAAGCATTGGGCTTTGAACGGAATGAAGGTCAGCAATTTGAGCTCACCAGCTGCTCCATGGGGGAAAGATGTGACAGGCTACTTCCATAAAGATTTACAGCCTTGGAAACTCTATGAGGCCATTCTACTCTGTTCTATAGGGTAACTACGAGTTGAAATCAACTCAACAGCACATAACACACAACACCAAAATGATCATTAAAATGATAGAATCATAGCATCTCATGATTAGTACAAAATTTTAAAAATACTCAGCACAGATATTCAAATCTTACAGGAAAATATTTCTTAATAGTCTCAAAATAAAAACCAAACAGACCCCTTGCACCAAGTTATGCCAAAGTCACCAAGGAAAGGGAGCAACTACAATTTGATCCTGATCTTCGAGTTTCATTCCATAGCATTTCACTTGTCAATGGTGAAAAATAAAAAAGACAGAATCCAAGATTGAATATGATTCTCTTCTGCTAGTAATGGATGAAACATGCAGAAAGTAATAAACCCTAGGAGAAACACTCGGCCAAATATATCCCACATGTCCACTGTGGGCACCAACCCTTTTGATAAACAAGGCATGTCTCTATGATCCCCACTTACTAGAATAGTCCTTTTTGTCCGTGTCAGAAAGGAAGATTTAAAGGAATCAAAGTATTAGGTGAAGAGTTGAGGACTCGCCCCAGCTCCCTTCTGGATTAGAAGTACTTGTAAACACAAGTGCCTTTTCCTTTCATCGTCCTGAGAAATCTTGTCTCTTCTCTTCCTGTCCCATGACTGTGATATCTCTCCCTCTTAGAACACTTTTAATACGAGGGATTTTCAAAAAGTTTACAACAATACGGAATTTTTCCACGAGTTTTTAAAAGCCTCTTTGTAGTTTAGACATCAAAGTTTGCAAATGGTTCTAGAATCCAAGTAAATGAACTCTGGGAGTGGGAATCTATATTACAAAACAAGCCCACTGCTGTGGAATTATTCCAACTCACAACAACTCTCCCACAGGGACACTGTCAATCTTTATGCAAGCAAACTGGTGGGTTTCCTTCCGGTTGGCAGGCCAGTTCATAACCACTGTACCTCCAGGGCTCCTTTGTTAAATTAGTTAAATTAGAAACGCTCAAATTTTACACGATTTGGAATAACCTAAATATTCATTAAAATGCATCTTCTTCCGAGATGCAAATTGAGTGGGTCAACAGTAGGGCCATGGAACCTACATGTTAAGGAAGTCTTCCAGAGGATTCTGATTCGGGGAGTTGACTCAAAGACTGCTTTGAGGAGCACAGGCACTAGAGGGATGAGAGTCCATCAAAGGGACAGAGGTGGATGGGACAAGATGGCAGTCTGCAGGCACTGGGCCAAGAAAAGGCAGGCCAAGGGGGTGAGTCATGGAAAGAACTTTGGGACTGCTGGCGTTTGCATGTGAATGACTACCAAAGATGAAATCTAACTACCCAAAAAGCCTACTTAGGGTACTTGTGCATATCCAGTTTACAAAATCACAACACTAATATTAAAGTCAAGTCTGGCTTCTTCTCTGAGAAAACATCAAATGGCATATGACGGCAGTGCAGTAGGGGGGTCCAGAGACTCCAGGTTGGATTGCAGAGACTTTGGCAGTGGCCCACTGAACCAGAGTTGCGGCCATGATCAGGGTGGGGACCAAGGCCAAGGACAAAGACAAGGACTGGGTCCCTGTCACCAAGTTGGGTTACCTGGTCAAAGATATGAAGATCAAGTTCCTGGAAGAGATGTAGCTCTTCATCCTGTCTACCAAGGAGTCTGAAATCATTGACTTTTCCCGGAAATATCCCTCAGGGACAAGTTTTTGATTATCATGCCAATGCAAAGGCAGTATGCTGGCAGTCAATTTTGTCATCATCGAGGACTACACTGGCCATATTGGCCTGGGTATTAAGTACTCCAAAGAGGTTGCTACCACCATCTATAGGGCCATCTTCCTGGCCAAGTCCTTCATCCTTCCCAGGCAGTGAGACTACTGGGGGAACAAGATCAGATAGCTCCACAATGTTCCCGGCAAGGTGACTGACCTCTTCCCCACACCCATGGGCATCATCTCAGCCCACATGCCCAAGAAGCAGCTGATGATGACCAGCACTGATGACTGCTATACCTTGACCAGTTACTGCGCTGCCACCCTGAGCAATTTTGCCAAGGCCACCTGTGATGCCATTTCCAAGACCTACAGCTCTCTTACCCCAGATCTCTGTAAGGAGGTGATTGATGCTCACAAGTCTCCTTACCAGTAATTCACTGAGCATCTCGCAAAGACCCCCACTAGAATATCCATGCAGTGGATCTGGGATCCAGCTGTGGCCACCACAGAGTGGTTTTTATATAAGAAAAAGAAAGAGAGTTAATTAAATCTGAGGGTGAAAAAAACTAGTTTGGACATTAAACATTGGAGTCCTGGTGTGGCACTGTAGGATAAACGCTAGACCGCAAGGTCAGTTTGAACCACAAGGTTAGTGGTTCAAACCCACTAGCCACTCCTCAGAAACCCTACACAGGGTCACTATGAGTCAGAACGAACTCCATGGCACTTAACAACAGTAACAAAAAATAGAAAGAAAGACGGTGATGGAAGTAGCCACGGTTGTGTAAGGGACATTAGACTCTAAAAGAGACCAAAAACAAGAGCATAAGTGATATAATTTTTTTTTTTAAATCATCTTTTTAAAAAGAAGTTTCAATTTAAGGTATGATGTTCAACCAAGGGAAAACCTTCTCATTTTTCCAAGTCATGAAGGAATTGGGAAAGAATGCTTTTTAAATCTCTTACCTTCTACGCTGCCTGATCCCTGACAAAATCAGTAGCGTGATTGCCACGATGACGATGCAAAATATCACACCAAACACAATGATCCAGATGGGTGTGGCTGGGTCAGAGGGCGGTGCAAGAGTGGACGGGATTTTTAAAAATTCCAAAGTCTGGTCATTCAAAAAGAAGGCATTGTTGATCCGGTCCCTATTCATTCTAAAGTGCAATGAGAATTAAAAGCGAATAAAACAAACATTAGAAGCAGGAAGTAGAGAGACTGCCCTCCAGAATTACGAATGTCTCCATAAGCAAAGTATGTCCTTAGCACAAGACATTAGGTTGACTAGAAAGTTCCGCAAAGGCAATCATGCTGCAATATTCTTTTCCGTGGCTACCAGCCAGAGAGGTGCTAGTCAATGCACTGCTGCCCTCCACTGTTACAAATGCCCTAGAAGCAACCAGAAGTCCTGAGCTTTGAGCTCGGCCACTGCATTTTCTTTCCTGAGAGGTAGCTTCTAGAAAGAATCACAGAACTCTATTTAAGGGAGTTCATCTACATACCAACAGCCCTAGAAAGTTGCACAGCTGATTATAATTGCTGTCAATCAGTTGCACACCCGTAAAAAGTTGAATTGGCAAAAATTGTGTGCTAGATATATTTGCAATAATGACCGCCCACCTCCTAAAAACAAGGGTAGCTACTGAGGCTGCTTAGGTACAACCAAACACCTCATGGATCTTGGCTCCTTGGTTTAGAGGTTTAGAGTTGTGGCTTCATATGACATCCCAGTAATTGGCCTAATAACATGTTTAGTACTTCTGTTCTGCCTCCTAGTTTGTTGGGTAATGTCTGGGATCTTAAAAGACTGCACGTAACCATCCAAGGCACAACATCTGGTCTCTATTCACCTGGAGCAACAGAGGCTGTATGAGAGTCAGGAATAGGAGGAGGGTGTGGAATGTGTGGCTAATTGCCCCTTTTTGCCATGTGACCAGAAGAACTGGATGGTTCCCAGCTACCATTACTGAACATTTTAACTAAAGATTCTATAGAAGAACCCTAGTCAAAAGAGGGAAAATGTAGAACAGAATTTCAAATGGTCATGGACTCCAGACTTTCTGGAGCCATGGGAGCCAGATGAACCCTGCCACTACTTCCCGGAGATGATCTTTACACATGAAATCCAAAATATTCCTTGAGGTTGTATTAAAACCAAACAATTTTACAAAGCTTAATTTGAAAAATGATCTGCCTCGAGCTCTTTTAATAACTCTGTAGGATTGAAGTGCCAACAGCAACTTGACAGTTAGTCAGCTGAATGGACAGTGAGTCTGTGTTACTGGGTGAAGAAGAACTTCAAAAGAAGGCTGAGAATGCTTGCACAACCCAGAGTAGACTTCATGGCACTGAACTGAACATGTAGAAGCTGTTGAATTGGTGTATGGTTTGCTATGCATATTCTCAACATCAACAGCAACAAAATTAATTTCACTTGTTTTAACTACCAGTAGCCCTAAAAGATAAAATTACATGTAGAAAGTAGGTGATAAACCTAAGACGAATAGATATTTGAAATCAGAAAAGAAAACATGAAGCCAGGAGTGAGTTCTTCACCCATACTTGCAGATAGTACCCACTTGACCTGGCTTCAATGGCTGGAAGAAGCAAGAAGAGGGGGAGAAAAAAAAAAAAGAGTAACCCACTACAATCTGATGAACTTTATCTATATGTATGGATGTAGTAGCTCCAAAAAGGAAACAAATATTTACAGCAAGGATCACGTCCACCCCCTCGGTACATAGGAATGGGCTAATTATACAATGGTTACCCAAAATGGAGGGGGGGGGCTATAGAGGCAAGAAGTGACTGGCTTACAAGCTTTCAAGAGGGAGCCTAGTTCCAGACAGGGCAGGGGTAGGTAGACCCTCCACTGAATGATTTCCAATCTGTTGGGACCCGGCTGGCAAAAGGAAATGGGGATAAGACTCTTGTGGTGCAATAGTGAATAATTGCCATCAGGACTGACTGTGAGGGTCAGAAATGTAGAGGTAGATGTTTTTTGACAAAAGGAGGGGAGTGATTGATTTTGCAGCCCAGGAGCAGAGGTCCCTGGGACCATCAAGTGAGAAGAGTGGAGAGCGTGACCCTACCCAGACAGGCAGTGATGCCAGGGATGGAGACAAAGATGATGGCGTGGACAGATGGAGTGGCTGGGGGCACGGGACTCAGGGAGGGAGAGGGGCTGTGTGTTGACAGCCAGGGGGTTGGGCCTGTGGGGTATATCCTTTGGTTATTTTATGATGCATGGAGGGGATTGTAATCATTGCAATGAAATGAAATACGATAGGATGAATATGAAACTGATGTTCTCTTGAAAAAAAAAAAAAAAAGTGAGTTCTTCATCAGTTTTATGCTTTTCTTTTTCATAAATTCAACAAACATTCCCTGAACAGACTAAGTATCAGATACCACGCAAGGTGTTGGGGGTAGCAAGTGAAATTAAAATGCAATGGAGCTTCCAGGCTAGAGGGATGATGAATGAAGATGTGCACAATCACAGCACAGTAGGAAATGTTCTATGAGAGAGGCCAATCCTGGCCTACCAGGGGCAAAGAGGGTGGACAAGTACATCCTGGTGCAAAGTCAGGGCAGCTTTCCTCAGGAGACAACTCTTGAGCTATTTTTTGAGGGACAAATAGGAGTTCATTACACAAAAGTGGGCAAGGAGACTGTTCTAGGGCTAAGAGTACCCGTGAGCATAGGAATAGAGCCATGCTACAATTTAACTTGCTTGATAAACTATGAGCAGTTCCATATGACTAGTCCTGGTACCGGAGTGGGTTATCAGTTGGGCAGTCAACTGCAGGTCAGCAGTTCAAATCTACCAGTCACTTGACTGCTGTTTTCATGATTGTTGATAGTGGATCCCAGCAAAATGAAGTCTTTGCAACTTCAATCTTTTCTCCATTTATCATGATGTTATTAATTGGTCCAGTGGTGAGGATTTAAATTTTCTTTACACTGAGGTGCAATCCATACTGAAGGCTGGATTGGGTCAGGCGCACCTTAGTCCTCATAGGAATGAGACTTTCTGCTTCCATAAAGATGTGCAGCCTCAAAAACCCTATACATAAAAAAAAAAACAAAAACCAACCAAAAAACCCTATACAGGATTGCTATGAGTCAGAACCGACTTGATATCACACAATCAACCAACCAAAGAAATGGTGGTTTGGGAGTCCCAAGTTCTAGAAAACTATAAAGACTAATGTGCTACTTTGTTGTTACTGTTGGAAGGAGCCATCAAGTCGGTTCTAACTCATAGCAACCCTATACACAACAGAATGAAACACTGCCCTGCCCTGTGCCGTCCTCACAATCATTGTTACAATTGAGCCCATTACTGCTGCCATTGTGCCCATTCATGTCGTTGAGGGACTTCCTCTTTTCTGCTGACTTTCCACTTCACCAAGCATGATGTCATTCTCTAGAGACTGGTCCTTCCTGATAATATGTCTGAAGTATGAGAGTCACAATCTTACCATCCTGGCTTCTAAGGAGCATTCTGGTTGTACTTCCTCCAACACAGATTTGTTTGATCTTCTGGAAGTCCTTGGTACTTTCAATATTTTCCCCCAACACTATAACTCAAATGCATCAATTCTTCTACAGTCTTCCTTATTCATCGTCCAACTTTCACATGCATATGTTGTTCTTGTTGTTATGTGCCGTGGAGTCAGTTCCGACTCATAGCGACATTCATATGAGGCTATTGAAAATACCACGGATTGGGTCAGGTGCACCTTAGTCCTCAAACTGATATCTTTACTCTTGAACACTTTAAATAGGTCGTGTGCAGCAGATTTGCCTAATGCAATTTTGTTTGATTTCTTGACTGCTGCTTTTATGAGTGTTGATAGTGGATCCCAGCAAAATGACGTCTTTGCAACTTCAATCTTTTCTCCATTTATCATGATGTTATTTATTGGTCCAGTGGTGAGGATTTTAATTTTCTTTACATTGAGGTGCAATCCATACTGAAGGATGTGGTCTTTGATTTTTGTCGGTATTTAAGTCCTCTTCTACTTCAGCACACAAGGATGTATCATCTATATATCACAGGTTGTTAATGAGTCTTCTTCCAAATCTGATGCCATGTTTTTCTTCATATAATTCAGTTTGTAGGATTATGGCTCAGCATATAGATCGAATAATTACGGTGAAAGAAAACAACCCTAGAGCACACCTTACCTTATTTTAAACCATTCAGTGTCCCCTTGTTCGGTTGGAAAGACTGACTTTTGGTCTGTGTACAGGCTTCTCATGAGCACATTCAAGTATTCTGAAATACCCATTCTTCACAAGGTTGTTCATAGCTTGTCATGGTCCAAACAGTCAAAAACCTTTGCATACGCACAGGTAAACATCTTTCTGTTATTCTCTGCTTTCAGCCAAGATCCATCGGAGGTCAGCAATGAGATCCCTCATTCCACATCCTCATCTGAATCTAGCTTGAACCTCTGGCAATTCCCTGTCAGTGTGCTTTTGCAGCCATTTTTTCATTAGCTTTCACAAAATTTTACTTGCATCTGATATTAATGATATTATCCAATGATTTTCGCATTCTGTTGGGTCATCTTTCTTTAGAATGTTAGCCAGGTAGCTGTCTTCCAAATGTCTTGGCATAAATGTGTGAGTGCCTCCAGTACTGCATCAGTTTGTTGAAAGATTTCATTTGGTATTCCATCGATTCCTGGAGCCTTGTTCTTTGCCAATGCCTTCAGTGTACCTTGGGCCTTCAGTGCACCTTGAACTTCTTCCTTCCTTCCTGATCATGTGCTACCTCTTGAAATAGATGAACATCACTCATTTCTTTTTGGTACAGTGACTTTGTGTATTCTTTCCATCTTCTTTTGATGGTTTCTGCATCATTCAATATCTTGCCCTTCAATATTACAAGTTGAGGCTTGAATTTTCTCTTCAGCTCTTACAGCTTGAGAAATACTGAGTGTGTTCTTCCCTTTGGTTTTCCAACTCCAGGTCTTTGCACATTTCATGATAATGCTTGACTTTGTCTTCTTGAGTTGACCTTTGAACTTTTCTGCTCAGCTCTTTTACATCCTCATTTCTTCCATTTGCTTAGCAACTCTGTGTTAAGTTTCAGAGTCTCTTCATTTTTTTTTTTAGATTAGAAAAATATAATTCATTCATTTAT